TAGTAGTAGTAGTAGTAGTAGTAGTAGTAGTAGTCGTTGTTGGCAGAAACCGCCATGCTCAAAAAGATTTGGGCAACACTTGGATTTGGTTGGGAGGTTTCTCTTGGGATATCGATCGAGCCGTCCATCGCCAAGTAGCTCGCCAGGTGAGGCGCTGAATTTTCTACTGATCCCCATCGTCACGGGCGTTGCGGCCGGCGTGGCCTACTTCGGCAACGGGCTCATCTACGGGCTCTCAGCCAAGTAGCTGGGCAAACGCTGGGAGACGGGTCGTCGATCCCCTCCCCCTATAAAGGTGTGTACAAGTGGTCAGACACGAAGACCCCCCCCAAAGATTCCCTTTTGGGTCAGGAACATGGTTTTTTGGGGCATCAGGTTTTAAGGCAACGCTTTTTGTCAATTCTGATTCTGATTGTGATGATTTCGCATGAACCGACCTGTGGACAAGTCAAGATCAGCTAACAGGAATCACAAGGAATAACTTTTCGTTTGCTTGCTTGCTTGCTTCCTTGCTTGCTCGCTTGCTTGCTTGCTTGGTTCACATTTTATATATTTTGGTGTCTTACTTTCCCCAAGTGCACCACTTTGAGTTTCACCATGTTTCACCTATCTTGGTACCTCAGTCAGACTGAGTCCATGGGCTTTGGGCCCCGTGTTTCTGTGCATTGTTTTAAGTTCAAATACAGTTCAACTGCTTAACTTGGGCTTAATTGTTCGTCCACAGCTTTGTGGATTGTGGATAAACAGTGAAGTCAACTGCAAATCAACGGCTGAACTGTTCAATCAAATGCCTAACTGTTGAATTTGTTTAATTCTGTTGAGATTGGTGTCCTCCAACTCTGGATGTTCTCTTCTTGTGAAGTTCTTCAGCGTTTTTCCCTACCAGAGCAGGCATTTTGCCCTATTCTTCAGCCGCGTTGGTTGCTTGGCCAACTTGCTTGGCCTTGACCGTCGCCTCTGTGTTGCGAACGGTTGAAACACAGAACACGTCTACCGTGCTTGGCCTTGACCGTCCCTTCCGTCCGTCTCCGTTGTGGGTCGGTCCCAGGTACATCGATGCCCACGTGCCACTGGAGCATCGTGCCTCGGGTGTCGTTGCGACGACGAGGACGAGTGGTTTCGGGACCAGACTCGAGGTGTGTCCAAACACCCGCGCAGAACAGCGTCGAACGCATCACCCTTCTGCGAAGGCACTGGGATCCCTATAGGAATTTGGGTTTCTCTCTCTCTCTCTCTCTGTGGGTTTGCGCTCATGGAAGTGGAGTTCACCCCCCTTGTTTTGAGAGGATGAACTCCTCGTCTTCCGAAATCGGGGTGCCATCCACTTCCATTTCATCGTTCCACCAAGTGTAGAAAGGAGGGCGATCAGTTCTTGTGGAACATCACTGATGTGCGACGGTGCCTGATCCAGAGATCTCCTACCCTTCCGGTCAAACACATAGCAGTGAGAACTCTCCAGCTTCGGTGTCCGGAAAAAACCGGAAAACGACCACCCCAGGTGTTCGGCACCCAGTGTCTGCTCGTTGGATCGAGCGAACGAACTTCACATCCAGGTCTGCTCCGTCTCGTCATCGAGTTTCACACCCACAAGTTTCAACACCTCCTCTAAGAACCCTGATTCTTACCTCACAACAACAGTACAACTCCCAATGAATAGAAAAGGGCAAACAAAAACGTCCGTCAAGACCCGCACGTCTTCCGGTCTTTTTTCTTCGTCGCTTCCCTTCCGGTGCCACGACGAGACGAGACGAGACGCGAACGGAGGCTACACCTCTTACAACCTCTGGTGCTTCGCAGGGGACTTGGCGGGCTACGCCGGGCAAGGGCATCTCTCAGTGGAGATTGCCCGCTCGGTGTGTGAAGGGAGGCATTACACCTATGTGTGCCATGAACATCCCACAAGCACGCGCACGCACCTCGCAAGTGGTGTGGGAGTGTGGGGGTGTGAGTGGAGAAGGTGTGAAAGGTGGGGAGGGGATGGGAGTGGGTGATGGTGTGTCCTTTTTGAGAGCGGAACGGAAGGATTGAGATGTTCGACATAATGACAGGTTACCTTTAGGTTACCTTTGGAGCGTTGGGTCCTTGCCACCCTTCTGTGTTCAGAACGAGGGTCGGATGGGGTGTGGGTGGGACAGGTACCCCAAAAAGGCGACCGAATCAGGATCCGTCTCATCGGACGAGTGGAACCTTTGGAACCTCTACGAGGACCCTCCTGGCAGGCTCTTTGGAGACCCTAACAGGTGGGAAACATGGACACCGGACTTGTCACCAGGAAACACCTGTTGGAGGGTGCTGGTCTAGTGTTCTATTTTTTGTTTCCATCGCGAACAGGGTGGTTTTCCAATGTCCATGTAAGTGAGAAGCTGAGGGTAAGCCGCCTTTCAGGGAGAACATGGAGCCCTTGAAGTTGAAGTTGATCGCAGTGAGTTGAGGTGGCTTTTTTTGGGTCGTGAGCTTCTCCAATTTGCACGACAGTCCCTTTTACTGGCCTGGGCCACCTTCGGCCTGGAAGGCTTCCAACCACTAAGTTCACAGCTGTGCTACCGAACAACCAATTGTTTATCACTAAGGGTTTTACAACACTCCAGGTCGTTCGCATGCTAAAAAAGGGGTGTGACTCCCAACACATGGTCTGAAACCTCCTCTGCGAAGGGTGAGTTCACAGCCATTCTCAGAATGATTTGTTCTCTTCACCTCGGGTGCTTGGCGAAGGATCCATGGTGAAAAGTCACAAGTGTCTTCTTGGTACGTTACATTGGAATCATATAAAACACATGGTCACAAGTGCCAGCACCTTCCAACAGGTGGTTTTTGGACACCCCTTAACCACTAAGAGGCTATTCATAGACACCTCTTGGAAGGTGCTGGTCTTCACTGTTTCTTGTTTGTTGCATCCTAGGCATGTCGGCATGGCTCTGTACATGCTAGATGTCCTGGGTCCGCCCTCCATCCGCTTTTTGGGTGTTCCAAGGAGCCCGTGGGACTGAGCGCCCCGGAAAGCCCCGTCCCTGGGCGCTTGGCCCGGGCGGTGCGGAAGCTGGGCATCCGCAAGTGGAGAGCCGAGTGGAGAGCGAACTGGGCTCCTAGTTGTCCATCGAGAAGGTCTAAGGCCTCCAAAAGGCGTCCCTTTTTGGGTCCTCCAAACTTCAAACATGAACCGATTGGATGCGTTTTGGACCAAGTTCTACACCGCCCTGTTTCTGTGGGTGCCAATGCATCTGGTGCTCCGCGTGCTCCACTTGAGGATGACCCTCCTTCCTTCGCAGAACGCTTTGAACATCAGTTGTTTCGACCATCACCCGCGATCCTGCGGACCCCAAAAAGGCTTCCGCACTTGGGCCGCGTCGGAGACGCGAGACCGAGCTTGGCACAGCTGCTTTCTGGAAATTAGCCCCCCCCTTCGTCCTTTGGAGCGGCTCGACTCTTTTCGAGCTCCGAGCCCTTTTTCTTTGTAATTTACTGTAATTATTTGTAAACAAATCCCCTTTGAAGGCGCTCCTCAAGCTTCCAGTGTGCCCCTACAGGGCAATGCTGCATAGTCATAGGAAACCCAACATGTAATTTTTTGGCTTCCTGGAAGGTCCTGGACCTGCTAGCTTGTGCCTCGTGGACCGGTTTAACAGCTGGGGCGCAGGCTGAAATTCTTCGTGCCACCTGCAGTGCCTCAGCCCATCCTCTTCTTCTTGCTGGAAGAGACGGACCCATCCGCCTCGGTGATCGTGTTGGCCGCTGTGCATCCGAAGGCGACGACCGTCGATCGTCGGTCGTTTTGGGGGCTTGGAGGACGACCATTCGGGGGTGGGGTGGGGATGGACCTATAGGCTCAATGGATCTGATTTCTGTATCTTTTTTCACATTGGTGATTCTGTTTTTTAGGCTTTGCCCTCAATATATGTCTATAGAAGGCATTGGTTCGGGACTTCTGGGCTACGCTTGTAGGTTTTGTTTGGTGCGGTGGGTGATGGTTGGAATCCAAGGTCTCCAGGACTCAACTCACTGCGCCAGGTCCGAAGCCTCCAGCGCCAGAGAGCCATCCATGGATCTGCTGAGGGTTCGGGGGAGAGCCATCCATGGAGTTTTTGGGCACCTCCTCCATCTTCCTCCCCTCCTCCAAACCTTTCTCTCCAAACCTGGAATGCCAGGTGCGTGGGAAAGTCTGGAAAGAGGTGATGGTCTTTCGCGACTTGCGCTCGGTGCAGATCTTCAAGATCGATTCCTATGGTCACCAGCACTACAGGCCCCGGCCGTCTTCCGCACGGTCGGGTCCTCCCGAAGCCTGGTGCACCGGGAGAACCGCCGCGGGGCATCGGAGCTTAAGGAAGCAAGTGGCAAGCGGACGGTCCGGCTTTTTGGACTGGCAAGCGGTCACACAGTCTACCAAGAGACTGAGGAAAGGGTAGGTATGACGTATGACTGTCAGAGCATCTGCAAGATGAAGACAGGCATGTCCAGCAGTTCCAAAAGGAATGGTTTGCAGCCTCCCCAAATGAGTGGATCATGGGCACCCCCCTTTGGAACTGCTGGCCCTGTCGCAGGTTTCTCCGTGAGCCACTTGGCGCGCAAGCGCGCGCCCGGTCACGGGCCCTCATTCCGCATCGACACACGGATACCAGCCATGAAACTGCCAATCCTTGATGGGGAGATCTTGCGCCCTCCCATGAATCAAGGATTCGCTTGTGAAACTGCCTTCATCCCTATGAAACTCCCCATCAAACCGGGGCGAACGTGAAGTCCAAGTCCGGCACCATGGAGCCGCGACGGATGCCCCCGTCCCCCGCGGTCGGATCTTCGCTCAGATCGCTGGAGTATACCACCAACGCACGCTATTGCCTGGCAGAGAAGCAGCCGAGTCCAAATGATCGCGAAGATCCATGGCCGGTGCCTTGGAGAAAGGCTGAACATGACCCGACTCGGAGGATATCAAGAGGCTCAGCGAGTGGGTGAACGTTGTTTTCTTGCGTTCCTTCTTTTCAGCCAACTGAATTCTTTCAGGTCCACTCAGTTACTACTAGTAACAAGTGCCTTACTACTAGTAACGAGAGTCATTTGTTGAGTTCTGTTCCTTGTGGAGCGGACGCCGCGCGTGCACCCTTTTCTGACTGCAGCGTTCGGTCAGGACTGGGGCCGCTACGAGGCGGGACAGCCCGATTTGTTGCTCAGCGGCGGTGGTCTTTACTTTGGAAGGGAAGAACGGAAGAAGTTGATGGGGGGAGGGATTTGGGGAGGCACCGAAGAAGGCACAATGCAAGCCTCCGGAAGTTGGGGGAAGTGGCGCGTGAAGTTCAGCGAGAAACTGCCTCCTTTGGGATTGGCGCCAAGCTCATTTTAAAGTTGACAAGTGTTTGTAACATTGGTTCAGATTTCCACGGGGGTCCCATGAAGGAATGAAGTGACATCGACTCAGAAAGCATTCAAGTCGAATAAAAATAAAACAAGTGGATCTTGTGGGTGTTGCAAGATTTGTGAGGTGCTTCTTGTTGCCCTTGGTGGTTTGATCCACTTAAGCACAGAAGCCCAAGACAGAATCCACAGGATGAGTTTGGGTTGACCAAATTGGTCATTCCTTGGACCGACATGTCTTGGACCGACCCTTTGTGTTGTATCGGCTATATCGATGGATGTCACGATCAGGAAAACAATAAGCTCATTCTTGCTGAACAAGGTGCAGTGACTGCTTTCAGGCTTTCGACCTTTTTGTCACCTTGAGGACGTTCTATGACGAGATGGACAAAGTTGAACCTTTTCTTTAAGCGTTCAATGCGACACCCTCTATGAACTTGCATCTCTTTCTGCTGAGGAATATGCAAGACAAGCCGCCCACTGTGGCAACATGGCCTCAAGATCAGCAAGTGGGGCGGTGGTTTCTGCATGTTTCTGCCGTTTTTTTTTTTCAGATCTGGCTGTGGGCACCCTTGTTGACCCTGAACATGAATAGATCCCTTTGTAAGAGATGTTCAACCTGCCATAGTTGGGCGAAAAAGGTGACGGCTGACTCACAGCCATCCTGCTTCAGCTCTCAGCTGAGACAGCTTCGTGATCCGAAAGTGAGTTTTCAAGCTCCCCGGGTCTGATTGGACCTCGTCATGATTGGATCAACTTCGCTCGGAGTCACATGGAGCACAGAGCTCGGGGTGTTTAGATGTGTTTTAATCGTCGTCCCATGGATGGGGCCATGGATGTGATATGACAGGGGCACCCTGTCCTCCTTCCTCCATGGGAGACTCGCATGAGAGCACTCAGTTCCCCCAATGGAACTGCTGGTAGATCCTGAAAATCCTTGCTGGAATGATCGGTCGAGGTGACCAAGGCTCTGAAAACGAGAAGAGTGGAGATAAGAAGACGTCAGAGGTGTTTCCAAGAAGACCACAACTTCGAGTCTCCCAGTCAAAGCAGAACTTTTCCAAGAGAACCGTCGTCCTCTTGAAATGACGACCGCGGGTCGCCTGTGCCGGGCAGCATTGGCCAAAACGGAGGCCACCCACCCGACCCCACACGATGAACCAAAGAGACCACCCCCCAAAAAGGGAGTTCACGGGGACCACCGTCCTCGCCCTGGTTCCACCCCAGATGGACTCCAGGAACCCACGGACCTTGTGCACGGCACGGCCAAGCTGCCGCAGGTGATGTCGCGGACCATCGTCAAGGACGTGCACAGCGACGGCAGCGCCGGTGCTGGGACGGGGAAGAAGGATCCGCCCCTCGGACGGGGAGAAGGAAGGCTCCGCAGAGTGGACGTGGGGGATGCGTGGGACAAGGTGGGTGTGGGGACCAGGAAACAAGGGACCCGAGCTGGGACGAAGTAGGAACATCGTTATACAAGTTATATATCGAGCTATAGAATTAAAACATTGCCAAAGAGAGAGAAACAGGTAAAATCCCATTGAACCTGGTATTGGACACCGTTTCTATCTCTTTGGGGACCACTAGACTATAGGGTGCTTAGTTCGCATGTTTGCACTAGTCATTACCACTCCCCAGGTACCCGGCGCGTTCTCCACCGTCCTCCAGGTTGGACGACAGCGAGGAGTGGTCGGACGGGGAGCCCAGCGACGACGAGACGGAGCAGGAGCGGAAGGAGCGCACCGCCCCCCCGGCGGTCAGCGGTCGATGTTGGATGGGTTGACCCAGGGGCTGTCGGGCCGGAAGACCCAAAGAGAGGTAGGTGAAGTGACCTGAACGTTCGGACCGTAACCTGGCGTACCGAACTGGGATAGTCGAAGGTTCGGGTTCTTCAACCTCTGGACGAGCCGAACATACGAGCCGGTGTTGGAGTAGATGGCTCAAGGAGTGGATGGCCTTCTTTTTTTAGCGGTGGTGCGGTGTGGAGGAAGGTGGAAGGTGGTGGAAGGTGTTCTTTCGAACAAGTGTGAGGTGAATCCGCTTGAAAGATATTGGACATCTATATATAAACATCTATAAAGGCTGGTGTTGATTTTGATGCCTACTGTCGCTGTGGCTGAGAAGGTTCAGCTGTTTAGTGGACTTCCTATGTGAGGCCATCTTGGACCAAGTCGGATGCGCCAAACACATGCCCCGAACGTTTGCCCCATCCCAAAAAATCCTCCACATCACTCGCAGTCTTTGGGGATGATTCTTGTGGAGCTTTTTGGGAACTTCGCTCGCCTCGTGGACCTACACCATCAGTACTATATAGACACTCCTCGCATGGCATGTATGGCCTGGCAACAAAACCAAGCCCTTCGGGACGTCCAAACACACGACTCCTCTCTCTCTCGGACGGCCGGTGCAGTCGACGACGGACCGGTTCTGCGGTCCGGGGGTGATGGTGATGGATGGCCCCTACTGCAGGCCCCGAGAGGCTCAGAGAGGCCCAGACAGGACACCCAGACAGGACACCAACAAGGCTCTCCGGTGTCGAATAAAAGAACCACATCTTCCACCGGAGCTCCGCTGGGGCCGCTCCCATCGGTGGATCGGGCTTGGGAGGTGGAACCATGAACCAAGGAGTTCGCAATCGCGAAAGGAAAAGGTTTTCCATGGCTTGAGGCCCAACGGGAAACGAACCCTGTCAATGGCACATCACCAGCGTCATTTTCAGGTGTCGCCCTCAATACCCAGACACTCCATGAGACTGCCAAGTCGGACTGCCGCCCCAAACAGACCCCCCCAAACCACCACCACCCCTGGCCGTTTTGGGGCGGCAGTCCGACATGGCAGTCCCTTCTTCGGGTTGTGTCTGGGAGTCTGGGAGATGTTGAGCCTTGAAGACTCCAAGTTCACCTGGAGACTGAGTTCACCTCGAGTCCGGTGACGGTCCGAGTGTTATAGACGAGACGGTCCGAGGATGAGTGGAGTGATTGAAGTGATTTGGAGTCTTTGGAGTGGAATTTCTCCACCCCTACCCAGACACGACCCGTCTGGGACTGCCATATAATGCCGATCAATTGGGGTGGTTGGAGGGGTCAATGTAGGTATATAAGGCAGTCCCATGGAGTGTTTGGGCATGTTTGGGCTATGAAGTTGGATTTGTAAGGTAATCAAAAGAACAGACAGACTCAGTTCGGCTCGTTGAGTCTTTCTCAGTGCTGTTCTTCCTCAGTTCTCTTTCTTCAAGCGAGACAGAGGAGATGACAGGAGACACCTGCTCCACCTGCGCATTTGACTTACTGAGGTTTGGGAGCGTTCGCAGAAGGAAGGAGAGCAATATTTGCCGAAGCGCTTACTGAAAGGCCTTGCAACGGGGTTGCCCGAAGCGTTTGTTTCTGGCTGCTTTGAATCAACCATTGCCACAAAGGAGTCTCTTTTCTATTCAAGCCTTCCTTTGGTGTCCCTTTCTTTCTGACAAACCAGGACTTGTTTTGGGGGACGTGTTTGAAGTCCTTTAGTTACTTAGACCCTTGGGCGTCCGGATCCAAGAAAAGGAGTCAACCGAGACAGGGTGCTCCAAGCAACGCAAAGCCAACCAGCAACCCGCATGGACATTGGTCGCCGCGCGGTTTTCCGTTGCCAGGTTTGCTACCAGAAGGGCTGTTGGAAAAGTACTTCATCTATCAGGAGCAGTGCAGGGCACTGAATAAAGCATTTCCAAAAGAAGTCGAACCACATTTCCCCCCCCCGTCCCAATAGATACAAAACCTCTTAGTTATCTTGTTGTGTTGTTCAGAAAGGAATGAAATTCATTCGTGCGGCCACCACATCTTCTGGCTTTGCAGTTTCCATCAATCTCTCCTGTGAAATATGGACATATCAATATGTTTCGATCGCCTTCTGCGTTTTCCTCCGCTGCTTTTCGAAGAGAACGTCTTCGACCGCCTTGAGCGCTCCAGCTCGGTCGAGGAGAATGAAACGCCTTGGAGAGCCATCCGAGGGTATCCAAAGACACCGGAGGGCGAGGAGGAGGGGTGCCCCTCCAAAAATCTGACTGCTTCTTGTCCAATGACCATTTTGCTACTTGTTAGTCTTCTTGTCAGTGATGGGATTGGAATGGATGATTTGGATCGCAGAGAGACGCTAGTGAATTCATTTCAGAAAGCTCATCAAATTAATCTAGACTGAGTGATTGAGTGCATGTCTTAACATATAGTAGCTATAGGTGCGCAAAAATTGATGCATGATGCATCTACTGATTTTCTGCACCTCACGCCTGAAATCAATGTACCGACTTCTCTGGTCAGTTGTAGAGGACCGTGATCCCGACCACCTCTTGGAGATCAAGCTCATTAAGGTGGGCAAGGTACCTTGCACCGCACACCGTGGCTGGTGTGCGCTGGTGCGGAAGCGATGGAAAGCTGCAGGGCGCAAGCCGTGGTTCTTGCTGAATCTGCTTTATGCCAAGGACGAGTCGGTGGCGGCGGGCGTGGTGGTTTTGAGTTCTTTTGTTTTTTTTTGGAGAGGATCTGCTCGAGATAGTGGTGGCTTCGAGGGAGGAGAAACACGGTGTGTGGTGAGTTGTGATCAATGGTGGTTCGATTGACAAAGTTGACAAAGAGTCAAGGAGCATTTGAAGCAGCTTGCTGCCTATTTTCACAACACCAGCAAAGCAACTGTCCTCCAATATATTATATTCTGCTATATATGAACGAATTTCCTGAGAAGTACCCATCTCTCGCCCTTCGCCGCGTGAACACATGTCACAGTCGCTTCCGTTGAGTCATGCATGTCAGCTGCATGACTCGTCTCACCCCCACCACTTCGGTCCTCGCAATTCCCGCTGAAAGACCCCTTTGGGATGCGTGTCACTTCCTCCCTGGATGCGTGTTTGCTTCTCTTCGATCGAGACAGACCAACAGAGGTTGAATGACCGGTATTTTAGGTGACGGGTCCTATTTACCGTCACTGGCTACCTTTTTTTGGGACTGTCGTCTTTCGTGTGACCTGGCTCTTCTGCGTCCGACTTGGGGCCGATGTGACAGGAAGGCACACCCTTGCACTCCTTGGCCAGAACCTTGGTGCGCCTGGAAAACCTGTCCTTCATTTTGGCCTGGACGGAGCAAGATCCGCGCAAGGTCGATGGCCGCCCGGCAGCACGGGTCGAATGGGTCGAACCGCGGCCACGGAAGCGGCTTCGGTGTGTTCAACCAGAGAGTCCAGCAGACTCCAGTCATTTGATGATCATCTGGCAAATCTGCCATCATCCCCCGCAAGAACCGGTTTTCCGACACCTGAACATGGCAAGGTCATACGTGACACGTGAGGTGTGATCGTTTCTTTCCAATTTGTTTGGATCTATCCAGATGTGGGAGATCCCGAATCCGAATGGCCCTGGCTGGGTAGACTTGATCTCCTTAGTTACTCAGCCTGGGATCAGAATATGCATTCACATATGGGGATGGGTATGCGTGGGTCAAAAACCTGGAGCCCATGTAGCTTGACCTACCTGGGAAGGTAGGTCAACCAATGAGGCGCTGCTGGATGCTGTCATCCGTCCACGCTCCCAAGGCGCCCTCGACCCTCCCATCGACTTCATCGAGCTGCCGCGACTCCTCTTGTCCTTCACCGTGCGACGCGGCGCCGACGGCTCACGGGGCTTGTGGAGTTTGGACCACGCAGAGCTCTCGGTTCCTTTAGGAGCACCCAGCTACGCGCGCACGCAGGACGGGAGGACGGGGCGACGCAGAGCGTGCTTGGATGAGCAGAACGAGCATGGAGAAGGGACTGTGAGGGAGAACGACCATGTTTTGCGTGGAATGGAGGTAAAAACAAACATGGTCTTAGGTGGAAGGGCCACCCGGATGAACAAGGGGTGACTTCCGAACGTTTCAAGCCGAACGTTTCTTTTCCATCTGTGAACATAAGCTGTTCGTCTCTGACGAACGACGAACGACGAACGACCCGCTCTCCTTCGATCCGTCGAGGCAGCGAAGTTGCTGGAGCCGATGCCGCATTCGCTGCTGCTGCAGACCTCCAATGCCCAGTTCTTCGCGCTGCTGCCGAACATCAAGGCGCACAAAAAAAAAAGAGGAGAGAGCTGAACAAAGACACAGGGGCTTAAGCATGGGGAGGGTGAAGTGATATTAATGTCCAGACAGTTGGATGTCAAAGCAATCCAAAGCAACTTCCGTTTATATTGAGCCTTTCAAAGCAATGTGTAGTTGGAATCTTTTGCAAGAAGCAAATGACACAGTTGATTGCTGTTGCTGTTTCTGCTGTTGGCTTGCAACGCTTTGTGAGCTTTTTGGTTTCGTCTAATTCAACGAATAAACTCCAATGTAGCTTCTGAACGAAACATCGCTCAGAACCTCATTGGGGGTTTGTGACAGACGGTGATGTCCAAAAACCAGAAGAACCCGACGCCTTCAGAAACGCTTTGACATGCTTTGACATGGGCTTGGAGCTATTGGACCTCTTTCCCTTCCGCCACCGGTCCTTCTTCAGCTGCGGCCGCGCCCTTAGGTGCACCGTCCCCACGTGGACACGGACCCCTTCAGCACGGAGCTGGTCCTGGAGCGCGGGAACTCCGAGCCTCGAACCCCACACTGACCGGCGTGGCAGGGCAACGAAGGACATCAGTCGAAGAGGATGGGTTGTTTGGGAGAAGAAGGAGACCCACACTCACACCGACCGGCTCGGGACCGAGGTTTCTCGCCAGTGCCATGCCAGTTGGGCAGCATGCATGAATAAGCCATTTGCTACGCCAAGATACTTCAATAAGTATACTTCAAGACTCTTTAAATTTCATGTCACATTATAGAACTACTAAAACAGAACCTGCTTCATGTTCATGTTCCAATACGATCCTTTACCTTTCAACATATGCCACAGTCGGACAGTCGCGCTTCTCTGCTTCGTGGCTCGCGCCTTCCTTCTCGCCTTCCCGCGCGCCCGCGCGGCGGTTTCAACGATGACCTGCCAACGACGACCCGAGGAGTGGTGGGGCCGGGCGAAGAACAAGACCTTCTTGTACCCAGTGCCTTGGGCCAACAGAAAAACAGGGTATATCCTTCCAGCCAAAAGCCACATAATATGATCATGGTCAATTATACGTTAGTCAGTTATATATGTGCCAGGTTTTTCGCCAGACCGAAACAGAACAATTCTCTTATAAAGCCAACCATTTAGTTTAGTCATTTGAACCTATACATAGTATTCCTGAAGCATCTTGAACCCAGTACTTTCTGGGCAAAAGGAAGTTAGGCATCATCCTCTAAGATGGTCGAACGCAAATGGAACAACCCAAAGCATGCGGTGGGACCCAACACATCCGCACCATGAAGAGATCTCCCCATGGAACGGACCCCTGAGAACGACCTGGTTTGGAAGACTCAGAACAGAACGACCGTGTCATCTTGTCCGGTGGGCACTTGTGTCATCTGGTCTTCCAACTTCCAACTGGAAGTTCTCTGTTCTTTTGTTCCCTGCCCTGCCTGCCCTCACCTCTTATCGATTTGACCCCCCTTTCTTTCAACCGGGCCACCGAACATACGCAGCCTCACGCCAAGCGCGCGCGTCGCTACCTCCGCGGTGTCTCCGCCGGTCCCGTCGCGTCGTCCCGAGGTGCATGCGTCACGGTCGTTTCTGCAGACGCCCACGTTGGCCTCGGCGCTCTACGTGATGATGCTACGCTGGATGAACCGCGATTACCGAGGCGCGCGCGAAACCACCGCGAACAGAATCTCGATCTCGATGTCTTTTTCCATTCGGTTCCGATGGGAGCACCGGAAGTGCTTGAGACGAGGGGCACCGGCTGACTGTGACTGACGCGTAGGGAGGCCGGGGGAGGTCGGAGAGCACTGGGTGGGAAGTGGTCCGGGGCTGATGATGTTGGTCAAGAAGGAGGTCTGGGTTTCTGTGAAAGATACATGTTGTAAGGATTTGTAAGGTGATTTCTGCCTGTTGAACGATGAACAGAGCAATGGCATCCAGGGGTGGTACCGACCCCAACCAGTGGTTGAACGGTTTTCCTGGCGAACTGGAGCGTCGGTAGTTAGTTCGGTAGTTGTCCGGGTGGTTTAGACATGTTTCGACGCATGCCGTAAATAGTAGCAAGGCATGTGATCAAACCGACATCCGCAAGGCACGTTTGAGATGAGTTTCCTTCGTAGGGTTCCATTCTTCCAATTCAGTGGCCTCGTAGAAAGGCTCCTCTCTCGGGCACTTTGATGGATGGTAAGCATGGGTTCAGTGCCCAAACATGGCAAGCTGTCAGAGGGTGTCCCACCTTTTCTCATTGATCCCTTTTCAAAACCTCCCATCCGGTCTGGCTGGGGATCGACATGGCTACACCCCAAGCACAATATATATTAATATATGCTCACTGAGGAATAGTTCATGTTGACCATCCCTGTCGCGAGCCAGGTGTGGCTGCTTTGGTCAGCGCCGTTGGCACTGATAGCAAGTACGAGGAGAGTGGAGCAGGTGTTGATCGAAGTCGTGAAAGATAATGAGAAGGCTGTCTTGAGTTTTCTCTTGAGAAGCAAGAGGGTAGCCGCAGGAGGCTTGTTATTGATTTGTCAATAAGTGGCTGTTTGCCTGATACATTATGGGGCGCCTCACCCTTGTGACGAGCGGCTTCTGTTTGAAAAGGAGACATCTCCACTGCTTGGGTGACGGTGCGATGTTCGATCTCCCCTTTAGCATCCTTTAGCCGCTTTAGCCCTTCTGTTTTTGGTACGGATTGGGTTGTTCAAGTGGCGGAAGTCTTCAACGGGGCCTCATGGGCTGCACAATGATTCTTAGCACTTCTCCAACTGCCGTCAAAAGCTGTTACTGTTGGTGGAACACCCCGTTCTCCGATCTCGTAGCAGACATGACTGTACAAGTGGATGTACATGTGACACACTGGACCACAAAAAAAACATCTTCAGACCCTTTTGTAGAGTGGTAATGGAACCGTGATGGGAGCCTTGGTCCACGTGAACGGTGCAAAAAGCATCATTTCCAGGATGTTTCTAGAGCTTGCTCATGCCCTCACAAGTCCTCTGGTGTTCCTTTGTATAGATCGAAGCCTGGGCGTTCGGGGTGCTTTTATCACTAGTGTGCGTTCCGCAGACGCGTCCACGAGGTGCGATCCGGCGATGGGGGCTGGAGCCACCCAGGGTCGGGGCTGGAGGAAGGCAGGTTTGGGGCGCCAGGAAGATGAGATGCAGATCTTCAAGCACTTGGGTCGGATCACCGATCCACATCCAGATTCCCATGCCAACCGATTGCAGGCGCCACTTCTGAGTGGAAGGTTCCAGTGGTTCGGGGCCGCCCTCAACGCGCGGGTTTCTGCATGGTGAAGCGGCTCGGGGTCGACTGGGCCGTTGTCTTCTTCCGACTCAAAGGTCTTCGTGGAGAACGGATGAGCTGCAAGATATGTTGGTTTGTTACAGAAAAAGACCTACTCTTGGGTATCAAAACTTGAAGAAAACAAATCCCCTTGCATACCATCATCACATCATCACGAGTTGTTTCAATCAAAAAAGTGACCAGAAGATTCACATCTCCATGCAACAAGTTCCTGGAGGATGCCTGTAAAGGGAACCCTTCAAAAAGGAAAACCCGTTCTCCGTACTTGTCCGGACTCGTACTCAGACTTCCCAATCGATATCCTAAGGTCCGTATGTCCAAGGATATGACCAAAGATCCTCGTTTTTTTCTACAAAGGTTATAGTACCAGCACCTTCATGTCGGGGTCACCTGGCTGGTTTCGCCCCAGCCCACCATCCGGAATCTCCAGACAGGACATCCCGGCCTTGAAGGCCCAGGGTTTCCACGGTGCGGACGCTTGACGGGTCGGGTGTGCCGGGTCGGGTTGTCGGATGGCGCAGCACAGTGTGTGCAGGTGTCTTTGGCGGTGTCCGATGCCAACATGGAGCTCCCTTGGGACTTGCTGGATGAATCGGCTGGATATCTGGGGAAGCTGGCCCATGTGACCGCAAGGCGGGGCAGAGGTTCGGGCCAGGGCGTTTTTGGGGAGGACACTCGAGGACACTTGCTGTACCTACCCTGTTCAAGACTCACGTAGACCCTGAAAGCCACTGGATTGGCAAAGGAAAACAGTCGTTCAGGGTGCCATTCGACCCGGCTCCATGTGGGTTTTGAGTGTAAACTGCGGCCGGAAACCTCTTCGGTTTCAACCGCATGAACCTGGAGCAACGAAGCGCATCGGCGGTCGACCAGTCCCAGTGACGCCTGGGCCATCGGTCGACCACCTGTCTCGACCGGTCGAAGCATGGTGCGGCACGGAGCTGGGCGTGGTGGTTCTGCCGAGGTCACGGCTGTCGGAAGATTATGAGCTTCGAAGCCTACAGCTCTGCCAACAGATCCGGAAATGTTTGGAGATCATTGAGAATGAGGTGAGAGGGCAGGAAGTTGGGAGGCTGGTTTGAGGACATGTTTGATGGCGGTAGGACAAGAAAAGTGGGTGCTTCAGGATGTATCTTACTTGGGTCCAGCTTCTGGTCTTTTTTGGCCCCCCCGCATTTGGGCCTCCATTCTCCCAACCACCTATATGACCTATGGCTTCCAAACTCTTGCCAGAGATCAGGTGTCGCTGCTGCGGCAACGTTGGTGGGGTCAGTGGGGCGCGGCGCGCATCAAGCGCTTCGTGGAGCTACTGGAAAGCGACGCCTGGGCGGCAGGGAGAGAGTGACAGCCTAAGGTGGATCTACTGCCCTAGGCCTCCAGTCGTACCTTCTGAGAAGGCGTTTGGGGTGGGTGCCAGGAGGGTCGAGTCATACCTTCTGAGGAGGTACTGTACGACTGGAGGTGGATCTACTGATTACCTTAGCTGTGGTATTCATGCGGTGTTGACCATTCTCCTTTTGGTTTCCGGGTCAGCTTGGCTGTGATGATCGTCCTCCTCTTGGACTCAAGAAACCCTCAGAGACCATCAGTCAGCCATTCTGGGATGTTTGCATGCCTTTAAACTTAAACCAAACTTGCATCTTCTTTGCAGAAGCTTGAATTGTACGGTTTCTCCCCTCCCACAAACATCCTCCTCCTTTCTCTGATCATCTTCCCAACTCAACAGCTCTCTGAATTACACATCCCTGACGGAATCCCAGACAGTTTGGATCCTTGCCCGATGTCCCTTCAAACCAAAGAACAGTTCCAGGCCGTGCTCAGTCCAGGCTCCTCCCTTGGAGCTCAGGCAGTGCTCAGTCGCTCGCACCCAGGTCACCCGGCCGAGTCCTGACCCAGGTCACTGCCCGGTCGACTTCGCGAGGTCGCACCACGCCACCGAACACGCGCGAACCGCGTGACGCGGCGTAAAGACCGAGGAGAAGGAGCGGAAGCTGGCGAACTTTCAGGAAGCCCAGGAGGTGGAACAATGGCTTCGTCAGCTGACGCGCGCCTCGGTTTTCGAAGGGCGTCGTGGAACTGGGCGGACACCGGCGGAGCGGTGGGGGTTTTAGGGGCACACCTGGAGGATAGGAAGGGGAAGGGATGGAGATGTTTATGTTTTGTTTTCAAGAGAGGGGGTTCCGTTACAGGCTTTTTTTTTTGACACCGAAAGACATGGACATTGGACATGCCATGTCTGCTGTGGTGGAGGGGTATATTGCAGTAATCAGTAAACTGTAGAAGCCTCAGAGAGAAAGTTTGAGAAGATCACCTTGGAAAATCCATTCCCAACATATATACCAGGAGCATCCAATGGGTGTCCTGGCTGGACTACCCTGCACTACTCACGGATCCCCAGCCAGACACCTAGACAGGATGGTCCAGGTAGTTGGTATGTTTGGGTACCCGGTGCGCTTGCACTGTCTTGCTGCGACTTGGGCCCTTACGACCACATGGCTGACATCTTCTGTCTGTGCTTGACATGTCCAGAAGCACCGGCCCCTTGAAGTTGTGGCCTCCGGGGCTGAGTTCTCACCCGAATCCATTCGGAAGTATCGCTTCTCAAAAACAGTCCCAGCTAGCTTTCCAATCTTTGATTTGTGGGCTCTACTTAGAGAAAAAAGGGGGGTCCTTTTCTCCAGTTTGCCTGGTTCTCCGGTTCGATCCGCTCACACCGTTTTTTCGAATGCGCTCAAGGGAACAGGTGCCCGGCACGTGGTGAGCCCCTCGGCCCCTCGGAACCGAGGCAAGATGCGTGCGTCCCAGCTACCACAGACGAAGGAGGAGATCCGCTCAATGGCGCTGAAGGCAGATCCGACAGCAATCGACTCGACGTCAGCGAGGAATTCACATGTTTGGACGGATGAGTTGTACTAGATGAGTTCATCCTATGGGTCTTGCCAGTGTAAAGAAGAAGACGTGGAACTTAGGAATCCGCCAGCCATGAACTACTGTGTCATCTCTCTTGTTTAGCTTTTCTTTTTTTCAGGATGTTTGAAAGTACACTTGGAACCTGCTCGCTTCACGGGATGTTCGGTTCGGACACAAGCGATGATAGATGTGACTTCATAGGCTGGTTGATCACATGATGGCCACTTCTTCATAGGTTGGTTGGTCACCTTTGAACTAATGCAGGAGGCATTCGATCAATAATCCCAGAACAATGTAACACCATGCAACACCTCTCAAAAAAAGGTGGTTGATGAACCCAGATTCTACATGATGTTTGCGTGGAAGTTCGCTTGCAGAGGAAGTGCGCTGCATGGCGCCACTTCATGGCGCCACTCCCAGGTCTTTGGCGACTACAACGTCGATCCGAACGTCGAACTGGCCCTCGACAACCGCGACCCGGAAAGCTCGGAGACGGTCCGGGAGACGGTCCGGGAGACCTGGTGGTACCCTGTGGTCTTCTTGAGGGGAGGCAGCTGTTTGTGTTGGGGGGGGGCCACAGGTGTTGCCCTTGTCTTCTGATGACATCGCTGCGATGTGGAGCAAGCATGAGGAAGCGGTTTGAGCGCGCGCCCTGCGCTTTTTTTCCACAGACTGGCCACCAGGACGGCGGAAGACATCGAAGCAGAACATGCCCCTTATAACCTTTCAACTGCAAAGAGGAGAGACTTCAAGAGATCGAAGACCGCCCAAGTACCTTGGTACTGTACACCTTGTACCCGGTCGCGGCGTGGCCAGAGCTCCCAAAAAGGAGTCCGGCTGCAAGTTGGTCTGTAGAAGATCCCTTTCCAACCTCCATTGAAGCTCTATTTCTTTAAAAGCAGAAAATCTAAGTGGCACCAAGAAAGAAAACTGCCTGCTGGCGTTGGGGCAACATGCATCCGAAATAGCAGGACCATGGGATTAAACACAGACCATTGACCAATATGTGCACACTTCCTGTGCACAGGTCAACTGACAACCACCTGGTCTTTCACAGATCTCAGGTTCCAAATACTTGGAACGCCTGGGCGGCCGCGACGGCGCGCGTCCCGGCGAGCCGCTCCAGTTGCATTGCCCTCATCGAGCAACCCGGCTTCTGGGGATTGGTCCTGACCCATTTGGTGACCATGATAGACACCCATTCACCTCTAAGGGGCTGTGATTAGACACCCCTTCACCTCTAAGGAGTTCTTTTTTTGGGGGGGTGTTTTCATGCTTCTTTACGCTGCTATATAATGAAACCATGGGGCTTGGGGGTCTCACTTCTCTTTTTATCGAGTTGTGGACAGTATTTTGTGGAGGTGTTAATCGTTGTGGTTTTGACCAGATTTAGTCATGGCTGTTGATAGACAAGTTCTCCTTCAACTGGATTAGGCTAAATGCTTAATTAGGATTAATTAGGTGGTTTCACCGACGATTTTCTACATAAAAGCCCTATGACCTGTATTGTTTTTCTTGTCAAATCTGATTTATCTCTGCACGCCTGCTGCCTTCGAGTTGATCCTGAATCTCGTGTACAACTGTCAGACAACCCTTTTGCAAAGAGTCAGGCTTGCGGGCGCATGTACTAGCTCTAGAAGTCCTCAACAGCACACTTTACTCTGAAGCAGCGCGCCAGAGCAAGTCTGCTCCAGCAAAGCTTCCCACGCTCTCTCAAATCTTGCAGCTAAGGTGTTAGGCATGCACCGTTCAGCCGCGAGAACGATTGCTATCTCATCAACAAACACCAAAATATAACTCTCCTGGAAGTAATAGCCATGCAAAGAACTATATTGCCCTTCAAAAGCGCTTTTGCCAAGCACTTTTTGCCAGGCTTTTCCATTTGTTCTGTGTTTTGAATGCGGCTTTCGACACACCGCGGTGAAACGACGCGTTCGACACACGGCGGGAGTTTGCGGCGTTCGTGCGCGGCACGCGAGGCCAGAGAGTCACTTTGGCAGACACATCAAGACCAGAACGCGCCTCGGACGTGTCCAGGATATGGCGACACGCAAGACACGCTGCCCAGCAGTTTCTCCTTTTTGGGGGGGGTTCACAACCTGCTTTTCTGGCCGTAAATGGAGAGACTGAGAGACCTGTGACCAAATGCTATGGGAGGAATAGTCTTTCTACACTGAAACCTCAGAAGTAGGATCATCATTTTCGACTGAACCAGATCTTCTCCTCACCTCCAGTGTTCCATCCGCCACCAGATCTCTTACTCTTTATCCGTTCCAACCCCCGAACTCCAGTCACGGTGCCCAAACCCGCGCCGTTTCACCCGCGCCGCCCGTTCTTGCACACCGGGTCGGGACTCCGTGCCGGCTCGCGGGGGCCGTTGGAGCCGAGCGACTCGCCAGCTCCGCACACGAGTGTTCCGGGTGCGGTCGAGCCGGAGAGCGCGGCGCTCGCTCCGCGCGACGCGAGCGAACCGAGCTCCGAGGTCTTGTTGTGTTCGCTCTTTGACCTCCTTTGGGAAGTCTTGGGCGCCGAGAAGGTCTTGCGCCGCGACGTCGAGGAAGACGAGGGGCCGGCGACTGGGCGGTGTTTGGAAGTGCGTGCGTGGTGCGGGGGGGAGTAGGATGAAGGAGGTGCGAACGCCGGGGGCCGGGGGTGCCAGCTGAAGAATTCTTTTGTTTTCCTCTGCGAGTTCTTATGGAAGTAGAGGCCAAAGGAGAAGATGAGAATTTATTCCTTTTTCCAGGGTGAGCGCCGTCAAACACTAGTGCCGCCACTGCCCGGACTGCCCAGATGTGCCGGAGTCACTTTTGGAGGTCGAAGTGCCAGCGTTGCTGTGGGCGAATGTTTGCCCTTGTTACCCTTGTTTGCTGTATTGTGGGTACAGGTCCACTGTAAACCAGCATGTGTTTCTTTGGGGCTTTAAGTGGACCTACCACACAGCAGTGTGACTTAGTTTGATTGCGTTTGATTTATTTACATTTTTTGCATGGCTTAGCAGCTTAGTCGTTCTTCCATGCACACTGCTGGTTCACACTGTGCGGCTGGTTCACACCTCTTCTCTTCCGCTCTTCTTCTTTTTGTGCGATCTGAGGAGATCCCTATGATGCGACGCCTGCCGTTCCCCATGGCCATCAACACGGCGTTCGAAATGTGCCAAGGGAAGATGACCTTGAAGGACTACGGCAGTGCAGCTCAGAAATGGAAGGGTTTTCAATGGGGAAGAGGTGGAAGGAGGGTTAATCAGATATGCATAATCATATATACCAGGACCCTCCTGTCAGGGTGTCTATTTATAGCCCCTTAGCTGTTAAGGGGTGTCCAGAAAAACCACCCATTGTGGGTCCAGGTATACTGTATTAAACTAATTAATATTGTTTGATGCACAGCCAGTTCTGGAGACGGTTGTGACGTTTTGATGACGTGGTGGTAGAAGGACCTTGCTAGTAAGGATCGAGTTGACGTTTTCAGGTTGCTGGGATTGAACAGGTTGGCTTGCTTTGGCTCGGTGATGGGCTGACGTCGGTGCCTGACATTTCAGGATTTGGCTCCCAACCGCAGTTGATGGGCGCGAAAAAGGGGGCACCAGCTCTGTTGAACAGATGACAGAATTTCAATACCCCTTACTTGGTCCTCTATGAAATGAGCCTCCAGGAGTCCTATGAAATGATCTCCGGCAGTTCATTACATAAAAACATAACTACGTAAAAAAGACAAAACAAACCAATGACAGTACTAACAATGTCTGAGACCAATTCAGCTATCATTATATAGAGATGAGGGGGTGGATGATGAAACATGTTGAGACTAAATCTAAGATCTTAATGAAACCTGGAGTAGATCATTTTAGAGAGATGTGTTTTGTGTGTTTTTTTTGTTGATTGAAGGATTTGTTGCTGGAGTTGTCATTTCATAAGAGTCATGGATCCAGCTTTTGAATCATTTTATATACCTCTCATGTTGATCGCCGCGCCTTCCTGTCAACCTCAAAAAGATATATAAATAATGTTAATGTTGCCAGTAAAGATTTGCTAAAGCAATTGAAATACATATGAAGACATCAAACAAATCATAACAAAGCAAGATTAGCAAGATATGATCTAATTCAAAATATCGCAGCTATATGAACATTGTTCGAATCTGCAAGTGGATTTTTTTTTTTATGATTTTAAGACTATATTATTGAAAGCGGATATTGTTCTTCTAAAAAAAATAACATATTTCATCAAGTTTGAAGTGGTAGCCCAAAGATACCTGAACCATTTGGGCCCCCCAGGGTTGCTGACCTAGATCCCCTGTTGAACAGGGGATATCATTTATAAAATGATATCTCCAAACAATTTCTGCATGTTTTGCAAAATTTGGGAACTACCAGATCATTTTATAAATATGTACAGTATTCAATACAGCTGGGTTTTCTTTCCCCAGGAGCCTGAGAGGAACTGGAAACCCAATCAAAACCACACTTTTTGACTTCTACACACCAGAGTCCTAAGAAGTAGTAGCCCAAAGATACCTGAACCATTTGGGCCCCCAGGGTTGCTGACCTAGATCCCCTGTTGAACAGGGGGTGCCATTTATAAAATGATATCTCCAAGCAATTTCTGCATATTTTGTAAATTTGGGAACTACCAGATCATTTTATAAATATGTGTTCAATTCAGCTGGGTTTTCTTCCCCCAGGAGCCTGAGAGGAACTGGAAATCCAGTCAAAACCACACCTTTTGACTTCTACACCCCAGAGTCCTAAGAAGCAGCAGCCCAAAG